TGTGTGCGGATCCAGGGAACATCTGAGCTCGAGTTCCCAAAGGCCCTCCTTTTCCCCAAGAGTCTCCAAGAGCAGGGTTTGAAGACCTCACCGGGCCTAGGCCAGGGTGGAGGGAGACCTGTGCTCACAGGGTGGAACTGAGACATAGGAGGGTCTGGGGTCTGTGCTCACAGGGTGGAACTGAGACATAGGAGGACAAGGAAAAGGACCTGGAACGAGATGAAGACCCAGTCACAGCAGCGGCTGCAAGCCACCTGCCTGGTTGAGATGGAAACACTGATTCCAGCTCCAGCCCCCAGACAGGCTAAGAATATCCCAGAAAAGCAACAGCCACCACCCCCGCCCTTCTTGATCTGCTCCCTCATCTGGAGTGCTATGCAGGGTGCCAGCAGGGGCAGGGAGGAGACAGAATGGGGTGACGCTTGGGGTAGGCACAAAAGCGGGGGGAAGGGCCTTGGTGGGGGCAGGACAAAGTGAACTGAGAAATAAAGCTACTGAAGGGAGCTGGAAAGATTGGAAAGAGAGAGCTGTGCTCGGGGGGCGACAAAGGAGGTGAAGGCAGGAGCTGGAGGATTGGGGAGAGAAGATCCAGGGGTGAGGATGAGGAGGGCTGACATTGGTAACCTGAAAGGGAGACCAAGGCTTTATTAAGGAAGGAGGCAGAGCCTATGGCAAGGAAAAGGAGCCCCCAGCTCACCCTCATCCTCCCCCGACCCCTAAGCCTGGGCCTCCAGCATCTCAGCATCAGTCCCCTCTCTCCCTGACTCAGGGCACTTCTTCATTGATGCTTTCCACCCCCATTCTCTGTTCTAAGAAACCTCTATTTGGCCTCCTCGGTTAAGTCCTTCTAGCAAGGAGCCTGCTGGAATGGGAAGGATGGGAGAGAACGTAGGGTCTCCCTCCTGACCGTGGGCAGTATCTCCTTTGTCAGGTTCATGTCTTCTCTCTGCTCATCCCCTGTCCCCACTCCCCACTGTTGCCTGGGGTAGGCTTCTCCCTCCACTGCCCCCCTCCACCCCAGCTCTCCTGGGCTAAGGTCTTTGGGAGAGGGAAGGAAGGCCGGGCAGATGCATATCCTCCTCCTTTGCACACCTCAGGAGCTGAGATCCTGGGGTGGGGATACTGGATCAGTGAAGGGGTGGGGGCAGCAGGATCCAGACATTCAGATGTCCAGGCTGAGTCTCCACACAGGCTGTTCTAAGAACCTTCCTTGTCATCAGCCTCTCTGTAGGGGCCCCTTGAAGACATAGGATGCAATGACTGTAGGTTGTGGGGCCTCTAGCCTTATTGTTTACTGGGGAGACCCTGGACCACCTTGGCATCCCATCCTTTGTCTCAGAACTTTTCAGGGACCCCGATAAAGCCTGGAGGGACCTAGGGAGGTTTGCATGACTGTGAACTTGAGCACCTCCCCCTCGTCTCCTGGGCTGAACCGCAGAAGACCTCACGGATGTCGTGCACACAAAGCCTGAGCCCATCAGGCAGAAACAGACTAGGGAGAACCAGACAGGGCTGGAGCTAGAAAATGAAACAGATTCATAGCATGGGTTTTATTTAGAGTCAGAATTGTAGAATTGGAAGAGGCTTTAGGAATCTTTTTTTTTTTTTTTTAAGTCCAATCCCCAGGATGTTATCTGATGTCTTTAATATTCATTTTGTCCAATAATGAAAGTAACATATATATAGAATCCGTGCATTTTAATAGGAAGAAAAGGAGGCCCAGAGAGCTGAAATGACTAGAACCCCTACCTCCTGCTTCCTAGACTATGGTCTCTCCAAGAAGGAGATTAAAACAGCCAAAGGGCAGAGCAGTCTGAGTGCGTTCCCTGGAGATGTTCCCTTAAAGATGGGGCTCATCTTCCCAGGGTGGGTCAGTGAAGGGCTCATCTCTAAGGCGGAGTTGGTGGTAATCCTCATTGATAAGGCTGCGTTCCTACACAGGCTGATACCCCGGTCTAAGCCTTCCAATTCTTGGTCTAGGCCTACAGATCTTGCCTTAAAGAGCCTGCAGGAATAACCATTTATCTGGACAGGGCACTGTTCTAGGTAACCTACCGAGTGATGGAGATAGACAAGGAGACTGGCCTGGGTGGGGGGTCTCAGCTAAGGGGAGTGTAATACAGCCAGCCCTGTCCCAGAGGAGCACACACATCCATGAGAAATGGACAGATGAGAAGTGACATACAGATCCTAATACAGATAAATGAATCAATCAGAATATAGACCCTAAACATCACCCACCTAGAAAAGTACACTTGCAGATGTGGTGTGGAAGGCACTGCCCTTCTGTAAAGCCTACCTTCTCCCTGGATTCTTTCTGGTTTCACTATGCTTATTCGCCTTGGCCTCCACCCTCTCTCCTCCATTAATTTTTTTTTAATAACAGAAATGTTGTTATTTTTTTATGAATCTGTTTTGACTATTTTGTCTGCTTCCTTTAAAAATTCCATCCATATTCATTTTGCACATCTTTGACTCAGGACTCAGAGCCCAGCCCATAAACAAGTTGTTATGTAGCAGCTGCTGTTGGGGAAAGAGATTAGAAAGACTCATGTCAGGAAGAGCACTAGGTCCCTTGCAATCAGTCCAAATAGGCTTCTTGGAGGAAGTGATTTTCAAGAGCTTGACAGAAGAAGGCAAGGTAGTGGTTTGAGGAAGGGTTCTGGCCCAGTGGTAGGAGCTCAGAGATTCGAGAGGGATAACCAAAGTAGGAGGGTGGAAAGTGTGAGTCAGAGAGAGGGACCGATGTGGGACAGGTGAAGCATAAGAAGGAAAGAAAGACCTTTTAAGGCACCTGTTTGGGGACCCTGAAGCAGGGAAGAGAATTATTGATTCTGACCCAGAGGAAACTAGGAGGTCACAACTGAGCCTGGAGTGGGGGTACCATGTTGGTGACATCTGTGGGAATTGCATAGATAGAAGATCTTGTCCTACGTGACACCAGTAATAGGCCTCACGTCAATGAGGGACTCCTGGGAGTAGAGCTGGGAGGACCCACGTGCCATTCAGATAGATCCACATGTTTCTGCTAGGGCAACTCAGTCTCTATGGGACCTGTCCTTAACTACTGGTGAGCCTACTGTTCCTTGGGTGTCAGAAGGCTGACTCAGAAGGCCTTGTAGGAGGAAGTGGGACCAATTTCAGGAGCTGAAAAGCAACTAAGGAGAGAAAGAGAGGTTGGATAGGTCAGCTCAGGCTGCAAGGGAATAATGATCAGATCTCAGGGGAGCAGGAGACACCCTGCTGAGAAGTGCGCATTGGGTGCTGAGTCAGGAAGGGGGTACAAGACTGTGTGTGTAGGGGGTAAAGAGATAGGGAATCAAGACAAGACCATAAGCCTCCAGGAAGGTGTGAGTGAGCAGGGGCTGTGGGAGAGCTGAGAAAAGCTGGTGCCTCTGGTGGCAGCAGCTGCAGCTTAAGGGGATTCTGGAACAGCCTATATGGAAGGAACCACACCCACACATGCGCATCACACAAACCAACAGCAGTGGTCCCTGGAAGTCATTTTGGTGGTCTATGGAGAACACAGAGGTGACTCCAGGGATAATTCTGAGGGTTTTGCTGAATCCATAGCAGGGGCTTCTCTCCCCATCATACCCACCTCCAAAGCCCACTTAAAAAGTTGGAAGACTTCTGTGTTGGGGAGCTACAGGGAGCAAGCCTGGAGAAGGGTGGACACTGTCCTATAAGGCAGGTAGAATAGCCTCAGGACCAGCTGGGCTCAGGACCTGCAGGTAAGGCCCAGAGGACAAAGGCCTGTGAGTGCTGAGGAGGGAACAGAGAGAAATGGGCAGGACCTAGCCTAATAGCTTGCAGCTGGGAGTGGGGACAGCTGGGACCTGAATGGCAGGAAGAATTTAACAATGAAAATTCAACTCAACCTGGATCCAGGGCTAAGCTGGAGGTTGGCCAACCCTCTTGGGCCTCCCTCTGCACAGGAGGTCCCATCTCCTGTCTGAGCCTGAAACCAACCTATCCATCCAATTTTCAGCACTTCCCCAGGAACCAATCATTCATCACCCACCCAAGTGTGGGATCAGGGTGTGTTGGTGGGGAAGAAGAGCAGAAGAGGAGCTACCCAGGGACCAGAGTCTAGGGCCTCTCCCCACAGACTCAGCTGCAGAGAATCAAGCTGGGCATAAATCTGAGGGTCTGGCCGCCCCCAGAGCAAAGGCTCCCAAGGAGGGAGTTTGTGGCCTGCAGGTAGGTCCGGGCCCCACCAGGGTCCGGTCATCACAGGTAGAGCAAGAAGACGCCTACTGCACTCCCCCACAAGCACCACCATGGTGGCCGCATGGGATGAAGGGAGGAGAGGAGAGCTAAGAGGTAATCGACCTATGGCCAAACTGGAGAAGCCAGAGCAGTTCGACCCAGCAGGTGCTGGGGCGCCCTGGTGAAGGCACTCACTGCCCACACTGCCCCCAGCACAGAATCAAAAGGGCGGAGAGGATGTTCCCACGGCTTCTCTGCTACCGCGATCCAATACATCAAAACAAGCTGACCCAGGGCCTTAGGACTTGGGGGGCGGGGGAGGATGTGAGGGGGGGTGAGAGCAGCCAGACCCCTCTCCCCAGCTCTGACCCTGAGGAGGCCCTTCGAACCGGGGCCACCTCCTCCTCCTTTCCCCTTTCTGGTGAAGGGAAAGGACCCGAGACAGAGGGTGGGGGGCGGGACTTGAGGTTGGCATGCGAGCTCCTATTGGTCAGAGGAGCTGCCGGTCAGGAGGGCAACTCGGGCGAGGATTGGCTGCGTGAGGCGGGGCGCGGCGCGGCTAAAGACGGGGTCCAAGGGGTGGGGCTGACGCTGCAGCTGGCGCAGCTCAGACTCCGAGCAACCGCCGCGGAGCAGCCAAGCAACCACCCTCCCCTGCCAGTTCCCGCGCCCGGGCCGGGGCTAGGCCCCCCACCGCCGGGTCTCCGGGGGCTGCAGCAGCGGCGGCGGCGACAGCGGCGCCGCCCGCGGTTCCCACCGGGGCCCGGGCGCCGGCCCCGCTCTGCAGGATGGGCACGGTGCTGTCTCTTTCCCCCGCCTCTTCGGCCAAGGGCCGGAGGCCCGGCGGGCTGCCAGAAGAGAAGAAGAAAGCGCCGCCCGCGGGGGACGAGGCGCTGGGGGGCTACGGGGCGCCGCCAGCAGGCAAGGGCGGCAAAGGCGAGAGCCGACTCAAGAGGCCGTCCGTGCTCATCTCGGCGCTCACCTGGAAGCGCTTGGTGGCCGCGTCTGCCAAGAAGAAGAAAGGCAGCAAGAAGGTGACGCCCAAGCCGGCGTCCACTGGCCCCGACCCCCTGGTCCAGCAACGCAACCGCGAGAACCTTCTCCGCAAGGGCCGGGACCCCCCAGACGGCGGCGGCGCCACCAAGCCCCTGGCGGTGCCGGTGCCCACCGTGCCCGCGGCCGCCGCCACCTGCGAGCCGCCGTCGGGGGGCAGCGCGGCCGCCCCGCCGCCGGGTTCGGGCGGGGGAAAGCCGCCGCCGCCGCCACCCCCAGCCCCGCAGGCGGCGCCGCCGGTGCCTGGCGGCTCGCCGCGGCGGGTCATCGTGCAGGCGTCCACCGGCGAGCTGCTGCGCTGCCTGGGCGACTTCGTGTGCCGACGCTGCTACCGCCTCAAGGAGCTGAGCCCCGGCGAGCTGGTGGGCTGGTTCCGCGGAGTGGACCGCTCGCTGCTGCTGCAGGGCTGGCAAGACCAGGCCTTCATTACGCCCGCCAACCTGGTGTTCGTGTACCTGCTGTGCCGCGAGTCGCTGCGCGGGGATGAGCTGGCGTCGGCCGCCGAGCTGCAGGCCGCTTTCCTCACCTGCCTCTACCTCGCCTACTCCTACATGGGCAACGAGATCTCATACCCGCTCAAGCCCTTCCTCGTGGAGCCCGACAAGGAGCGCTTCTGGCAACGCTGCCTGCGCCTCATCCAGCGGCTCAGCCCCCAGATGCTGCGGCTCAACGCCGACCCCCACTTCTTCACGCAGGTCTTTCAAGACCTCAAGAACGAGGGCGAGGCTGCCGCGGGCGCCGGGGGTCCACCCAACGGGGGCGCGCCCGCGGCCCCCGCCTCCTCCTCGGCCGCCAGGGACAGCTGCGCGACCGGAGCCAAGCACTGGACTATGAACCTGGACCGCTAGGGATTCCCAAGGGCCGCGCCCGCCCCCCACCCCAGCCCCTGACACGCACTCGGAGCCCCCGGGACCATCAAGCCGCCGCCGCTGTTACCGCTGCTCCGTGCCGTGGCCGGAGGAGGAGCCGCCCCTGTCCCGCAGGGGAAGGTGGAGGCCAGGATGCCAGAGGCCACGGCTCTGGATTTGCTGGGCATAGGGTGGGGGTGGGGGATGAGCACGGGAGGGGGACCCCCAACCTCGCCCTTTCTGTCTGCCTGTGCACCCCCCCCCCATCTCTCCAATTCTACCGGGTCTCCTCCTTCCCTTCCGTGTTTATCTGTAAGTCCATCTCCCTCGGTTTTGACCATTTCCTCGCCTCCTTCCTGTATCTTCATCTTTCCTCCTGTCTGCCTTCCCATCTCCCTCTCTGCCTTTCCATTTTCCGTACCTTGGGTGTGTATTTCCATCTCCATCTTACCCCCTACCTATCATTGCCCCCCTTTCTCATTCTGCACCTGTGTCCCCATCTCCCCTTCTCGTTCTCTTTTCCTTGCTCCTCGCATGTGTCACCATCTTCCCTCCTGTCTGCTTACCCCGCCCCCCCACCTATGTCAGCTTGCATTTTTGCCCCTACTGAGCCCCCACATCCCCTTTCCCAGACCAAAGGGAATATTAATTCTTGATTTGGACTGACTTCGGTGCAGCGAGAAACTGCAGCCCCAGGAGCCCAGACAACCACCAGGATGGTCCTTCGCCCCACCCCCACCTCCTCTCCCCACCTTTTCCAACGTGTTGCATGCCGGGAGTTGGGGGGGGAGGGAGATGCCGGCTTCAGGAGGCTGAGGTTTGGGGGCAAAATCTACCTAGGAGGCCACCCCGGCGGCGGCGGCGCCTCAGCGGAAGGGCGGGAGGAGACAGAAACTCTTCTTACTCTGGGGGAGGGGTACCCCTCTTCCGTATCTTTAGGTGTTTTTTTCCCTCCCCTTTTAATTTATTTGGTTGTTTCCAGTGGGAGGGGGGAGGGGTGGGTATTGGGCCGGGAGCTGTCTGAGGTGCTGATTTGAGGCCGGACCGGAATCCTCCCGGGAGGGTACCAGGGACTGGGTTGGGCCTGGTGCCGTGTCCAAGGTGCCAATGATGCGGGCCGACGGCGCGGGCTGCACTGTCTGTCTGTCCGTCTGTCCCAGAGAGAACTATAAAGCGCTGGAAGCGCCTGCAGATGGTTTTGCGCCGGCCTTTCTTTGGGCCCCGGGAGGGAGGGAGTGGGATTGGGAGTGAAACAGTCACAGATAGGGCAGGAGGGCCCCCATGGGCCTAGTGGGGGAGATGGGTCCCTGAGAACTGCTACTCTTTCCGTCCCCCCGCCCCCACATTGGCTTCCATTTTATTGAGAGTAAAGTAGCCAAAGGTTGAGGCCTGGTGATAAAGCGGAATCCCCTCACACATTACTTCTCCATCTTGTCTCATCTAGCTCTTCATTAATGCGCAGACCATTTAGGGATTAAATGATGAGGACAGCAAAAGTTGTACCCTTTACAAAGTAGTCCACTGAGGTAGAACTAGCTAGTTATGATTGCTGCTTTTCTCTTCTTCCTCCATCTCTCCCTACTATATATACTGTCTAGAGTCTAGTTAGGCCTGACTAAGCCTGTGCTCACCACTCTCGGGTGGGGCCTGACTGTCACACTCAGCTCCACACCCCTCCTCCAAACTCCTGGGTTGTTTCAAGGCCATTTCAGTCACACGCCCACCCAGGATAGCCTTGGGAAGTCCATCCCTGCTTAAGATTCAGACCTGGCCCTTTATCCCCAGGGAGGCTAGGACACAGGCAGCCTGGGAGACAGGAGCCGTTCTTAGGGGTTGAAAGAAGAGAAATAAGCTTTTTAGCCGGAGATTCCTGTCCCGTTGCCTTTTTTGCCACGTGGCTAAGTGCCCCATTCAGTTTCATTGACCCAAGGAGGCCTGGCTCCAGTAGAGCGCTGGCGTCTCTGACCCTGGTCGCCGCCTAGACCTCGAGGATCAGGAGTCAGAACCCCGCGGCCTGAAAGACTAGGCCCGGGTTCGCTGTCCGTGGTGCTGACCGGCACGCTGGGGCAGGGTGGGGGCTTGCGGGGGCGGGAGGAGTTGCAGACTCGGCTTCACCTAGATTTTCTGAATAATTTGGTAGCAGGTTGTGATCTCTTCTGATGGCGAGTTGCAGGCGTCTGGCCCGAGAACCCAAGAACGCCGGCTTCCATTTGCCCTCCTAAGAGGACAGACCGCTACTCTACCCCGGCCTCGGCCCAGCGCCCTTGCACCCGGCCTGGAGCCGGAAATCCCCAGTCCAGATTTGTGAATCGAATTCCCGGGGGGGAGGGAGGGGAGAAGCGGGAGAGCTGGCGGAAGGGAAGGCGGGAGCAGCCGCCCATTGGCTGGAATTTGGCGCAGTCAGCGCGGTGCCGTCATCTTTCTGGGTTTGGGAGGAGGGAGGGAGGAGCACTTGGGTCACCCCGCGGCTGTCGCCATAGTAACCAGACTGAGCGGGCGGGGCCACCTTTCCACTCTCCCCACACTAGCGGAGGAAACAATCCTAGGCTGCCTTATTTAGAACTAGTTAGCAAGACTACTTGATTGAACTTCTGCGTTAGAAGAGTCTAAAGTGGGTGGGAAAGAGAGACCAGAGAGCCTACCGAGACCCCCCAAACATCCTGCTTTGGGCGGGATCACTAGGTACTGCCCCTGAACCCACAGACACAGCATCCTCCCTTTACCACACACACACACACACACACACACACACACACACACACCCATCCAGGAACCTGTGGTCTGGCACTTGGAGACTTAGAATGAGAAAAAAGCCTCAGTGCTTGGTGTCAAATTAAATCTCACTTTCCTTGCCATGCCCCGAGGCATGAGACAGCGCCATAATCCGATTAAGGGGTAAGCGACTGGAGGAGGATCAGCATGAATACATGGAAGAATTAGCCTCCTGGGTCAAACCTGGTCAGACTCCTGTTTTGTAAGGGAAGGCTGGTCACATGGCAAAAGGCTCAGTCTTCTAAGAAGGCAAGGTGAGAAGGGAGAAAGTGCAGAAACAGAGTAAGGTGCCTTCTCTTTACTGCCCAGAAGTGAACCTCAGGGAAGTGAGTCCAGGCTGAGGAGGGTAGTGGTGAAGAGGGCTCAGAGTTCTAGAAAGAGCCCAGCCTGGGTGAAGGGCCGACTGAGGAAAGAATGGAGATGGAGAATAGGATACAGAAACACAGCTGGAGCCGTGACTCAGCACTTCCCCTGGCAAAGGACTGGCTCTCCCAGCAAAGGAGCAGCAGAGAGGGGAGGGAAGCAGGAAAGCAAATGTGTGGATAGACAGTGATCTGACCATTTGTTGCATATCATTTGTTGCATGGATATATAACCAAAGGCACACATTTTAACCCAGAGAGCAGGTACATATACATTTATACTGATGAAGGCTCCTTCAGACATAACATGTACACATCTCCACTGCCTACTTCCCTGCCCCTCTTCCTGGAGCAGAGGACATTCTGTCCTGAGAGCTATGCTTGCTTGTCCCTGTAATACCTTGGTACTTAATGGGAAAGGAGAAATGAAAAAAAAAAAATCGCAGACGTGGGGGCGGGGGGTGTTGGTTGTCATGGTAGCTGCTTTGCCTGCCAGACAGAGTGCCCAGCAACCAGGGCATCTGGCAATATCCAAGGGGACATCCTGTGGCCTCTACCTATGGGGACTCTGCCTCAGGCCCCCAGATGGGCATCTCTGGAAGATTTTCACAACAGAGGCTGCCACAGCAACCCCTTCCAGCCACATCACCATGACCAAAGACAGGTGACAGCCAGATATGGAGGGCTGACCATCTTTATATGCCCCACTTTAAGTGGTACTCCTGATCCCTTTATACATGATAAACAACATTTGCTGTCAGTGACCTCAAGACAGCAGGTGTTAACACTTTAAGGACCTTCATTAAGACTGTTACTTTCCCTCTGAACACCTTGCTAAAAACACCCTACAAGAAGGTCATGTATATCCACACAGGCTAGATGTGTAAATGCGGGCTAGGAAAATTGTTTTAGTTCGGTGATGAAAGATTGGGTGCAAAATAGATAAACTGCAGGGGTTAGTCTCAGGATTCAATACATTAGTTGACCTTAGTTTAATACATTGATAAGATTTAAAGTCAGTCTCTCTGTTGCACTTACAGGCAACCCCCACCTCTATTTTTGTTTTTTCTTTCCTCTATCTTAGGTTTAACATCTTAGTTTCTGGATTAAAATTCCCCCAATCTAGATTAAGCTTTCATGTTTTTCTTTCCCCCCTGGATTTTTTCCACTATTTCTTTAGTAATTAGCTGCTCCTAGGGTCTCTTTCTATTTGGAGATATTGCCCACAGTAGTTACTCCCCTTTCTTAAGACTTCTTCTCCCCCATTTCTTTACACCCTTTGGTCATAGTCTCCTGTGATTGATATTTATCTTCAAGTCACAAATCATAAAATTAGTTTCTCTGTGTGCATTTTTATATATGACTACCTAAAAGGAAAGAGGGGTTATCACCATTCTGTTATAATCTTTCAACATTTTACTCCTTAAAAAAAAAATAATTTACATACAATCCCAGAAAAACACAGAATATCAAGTAAAACATAAGAAAGAAGAGTAATGATGGAGGGCTTGCCCTACCATGTACTTAAATGTATTATAGAACTAAGGTAGTTAAAATATATGGCACTGACTTAGGAATAGAAAATAGAACAGAATAGATATTCCAAAGCTGAACTCTGGCATACATGGGAATTTAATATATGATAAAGGCACCATTTCAAATCCACTGGGAAAGATGGATTAGTCAGCATATGGTTTTGTACAACTGGGTAGTCATTCATATGAAGAAAAAAGGTCAATTATTCCTCATTCTTTACCCCAAAATAAATTCCAGATTTTTTTTTAATGTAAAGGAAAAAGCTATAAAACCCTTAAAAGAGAAGACAGGTTTGGGTTTTTTTTAAGATTTTATTTATTTATTTGAGAA